TCAGTTCCTGGTTCCTGCTCAGTTCCTGGTTCATGTTCAGTTCCTGGTTCCTGCTCAGTTCCTGGTTCCTGTTGAGTTCCTGATTCATGTTCAGTTCCTGGTTCATGTTGAGTTGCTGGTTCCTGTTTCTGTTCAGTTCCTGGTTCCTGTTGAGTTCCTGGTTCCTGCTCAGTTCCTGTTCCTGTTCAGTTCCTGGTTCCTATTGAGTTCCTGGTTCATTTTGAGTTCCTGTTCAGTTCACAGTTCCTATTTGGAATAAACCCTGTTTGTTCTGGATGAACTAACGTCTTAGCTAGATTTTTAGGTAAGTGTCTAATCAGGAAGTTGGCGTATACGAGCCGTCTTCTTCTGGGTCCTTTCCTTCTTCATATCAGGGTGACGGTGGCTTCAGTCAGAGCTTAGGGTAACACGCCGTCCTCATATGAGCGGGTAATAATGAACGCAGGGATGGAACCAGCAACACTCCAGTTTTTTGTAAATCTCGTTACTAAGCCCATCCGGTCCGGGGCTTTATCCATTGTTCAGTGATTGAATAGTTGCTAGTCGCTCCTCACAGCTAATGTCTGCATTTCAGATCTCTGCTTCGCTAAAGGATGGGAGGTTCTATCCAGAAATGACCGGGCGGCGCCCGGCGAGGCGTTCTGTTCTGATGTTTATAGATCTTTCTAGAACCGTGAGAATCTGTCATTAATGTCTTGGTGTGAAGGGAGGGCAGGTCCCGCTCATGAAGTGATTTCATGAACTGTTCGTCATTTTCTATTTTCCACAGTTGTCTTTAGTTTTATGAGGTTTATGTGTTTTTGTTTTGCTGCTGATCTTATCAGACGGTATTTTATTTTAAAAAAAACATTGGTTTAAAATTAACCCCCCAGTTAAAAAAGTTCCAAAGTAGTGGTGTGGTCAGTCAGTAACCTTGGTATTCCAGCAGGCAGGTGATCCAGGCCTTATATGACCAACAGGGAATGTTTGTAGTTCCCAGCAGAGGAACTTTTCTCCTGCATCTTCTCCCCGTCGCCTCCTTCTTCTTCAGGTGTGTTTTTATACGGCCAACCAGGCAACCAGCAAACGTCTCTGCGTCTGTAAATGTGGTCTCCTTGCTGTTGTGCATAACTCTCAGCTTGGTATAGAAGGTGGAATCTCCCTCCAGCTTCGTCACGCAGCAGGTTTCTGTTTGGGGTGAAAGCAGAACGGCGTTCGACGACAGCTGGAGGAAAGTCTCTGAAACTTTCTAGACTGCGCTACTTTCTTCAGGATTTCCTCGAAGGCATGACAGTAGTTACCCTGACGATCAAGTGCCGCAGTGGATCGCTATCACCGCAGCGCCTTTGCAGCGCCCTCGCAGCGCCCTCGCAGCGCCCTATGAGCCCAGTCAATCATTGGTCTTTCATCGTCTGTCAGCAGCTGTGCTACAGTCTCTAGTTTTTGGCCCATTTTCCAGCCCCTCCTTCACTCCTGCAGTTGGACCGCCCCTGAAGGTCCAGGAACTTTCTGACAGTTTATCGAATTAATTTAGCAGAGACTTAACTTTAGCTTGGAGATCCGTAGCAACATCGGAGTTAGCATCGTCCAACTCAGCGTGTCGTTTTGGCATTAAGGCGAGCGTGTAGAGCAATAAATGCATCGTCACTGTCCGTCTTCACCGCAGCAATTTCACCTCAAGGCTGTATTCACATCAGCAATCCTTTCATCTACTTTGGTGCAGATGTCCGATTTATCTTGTGCTAATTAGTCCTGTAGAGCAGCTATAGTGGTTAGCATTGCTTGCTGATCCGCGCCTCGAGTGCTTGTTTCGGTGTCGCCTTTCCCACTCCGGCTCGGTGCTTCAGTTGGGCCTCCATCCTCAGTCGGTTCGGTCCTGGTTTTCGCTTTGATTCGCCCAGTTCACAGATCCACAGATATCCAGACTAATAATTCAGCTTGCATGTGTTCGGTTTGAAAGTTAAATTTTGCAGGAGCTACAGTTGGCGCATCTTATCTCCTCATCGCTCAACAGCGCCCCCTGGAAGAATGAAAATGTTCCACAGGTCGGGTTCTGCAAGGAACCAGATGACTGGAGCCTTCTGGGTCTAACGGTTCTTCTCCTGCCTGTAGATGAAACCAGTCCGTCCAACGTGTGGGACTGCAAGAACCGAGGGGTGAACGGGACCCAGAAGGGCCAGATTGTCTGGAGGTTGGAGGCCGGGCCGTACTTCATGGAGCGTAAGTGTTTCTACGGCTTTGTAAAGAAAATCATGGTCCAGAAGGTTCAGAGAAAGGAGGAAGGTCCGACTGGGAGGCGGTTCTAGGCCTGCGGCTCTGAGCTCATGTTTGCTCTTTCCTCCACAGCTGAGACCAAGATCTGCTTCAAATACTACCATGGAGTGAGCGGAGCTCTGAGAGCGACCACCCCCTGCATCACCGTGAAGAACCCCGCTGTCCTGGTAGCTTGGCTGCTTCTGCTCCTTTAAACTGGAGCTCTCCTGGGAGGGAAATCAGGCTCAGTGACAGGAAGTGACATCAGAGCGCTGGGTGGATGTTCCTCCTCATGGAGATCTGCTCCATCAGGGTGGAACAACCAGAACCCGATCAGTGGTCTTCAGGAAGAAACCTCCTCAGGGAGTCAGAACATCCACCTGATAATAAAAATAATGATAAAAATAATGATAATAATAATAATGATAAAAATAATGATAATAATAATAATGATAAAAATAATGATAATAATAATAATGACCCCATCCTGTTTAAAAGCAGGTTTCCAAAAGAATAAAATAATTACAACTTTAAGGAGAAAATTAAAGATGATTCCTTTTATCTCACAGATAAACATCAGAAACTTTGTGTTTGATGAAAGCTTCTCGTTAATCAGAGGATTTTTATGCAATAAATCCTGCTGTGACTTCAGAGTTTAATCAGATAATATTGTTAATGAACACGCCCCCTACTGGCTGCATGTTAGAACCACAGGTTTGAATGGAGGGTCGGGGTCACATCATTCTGCAGATATGGATTCAATTCACGGTGACTTTCATTCAAATCTAAATTTATTAAAAATCTTTCAGCTCCAAGTCAAACAGATTTCCCTTCAAAATGAAACTAAATGATGCAAAAATATCAGAATAATATTGTTTGATTTTATCTTAAAGACTTTGGCATCAAATTAGCTTTTGGATAAATTAGAGCATCTTGAATGTTTTCAAACCAATTCAATGCGAATCCATGAGGAAAATAAATTTTGCCCAATAAAGTTTTATTAAATGATCTGCTTAATGAGAACCAATAACCTTTAGTTAATTATTATTAACCTTCTTAAATGATCTGCTTAATCAGAACCAATAACCTTTAGTTAATTATTATTAACCTTCTATGATTGCTCCCTAAGGAATATGACTGCCTAGCTTCTTTAGCTAGCTTGGGTATTAGCATTGAAGCTAGCAGACCTGAGGGGACGCGTTCCTCTTTAATGGCATTTAAGCGATCAGGAACACCTTAATGTTGTTCTTGTGACGTTCTCCTGAAGGAACCGCGGCTCCTGGCGCTCTGCTGCGCAGTAACGATGTGGTCTCTGTGTCGCAGGTGGAGGGTGTCGCAGAGCAGGTGGGCGTAGAACATCCCCGGAAACTGATCAGCTTTACTTTAACCGGTGAGCTCCAGCAGGTGGCGTCTGCCTAGCTTCGGCTAAAGGTGGACGGTTTCCTGTAGTGTTCGGTCTGGGCTGTCGTTGCAGACCTGCGGGCCAACGGCTTGAAGAAAGGCATGTTCTTCAACCCTGACCCCTACCTGAAGATGTCCATCCATCCTGGGAAGAGAAACGTCTTCCCGGTCTTCAGCCACCATGGGCAGGAGCGCCGCTCAGCCATCATCGCTAACACCACCAACCCGGTGTGGCACGGAGAGGTGAGTCCGCGTCCCCTCCTCCACTTGTTGCTCTGGAACCTTCTCACTGCTGTCATGCCTTCTGACAGAAATACACCTTCGTGGCGCTGATGACCGACATCCTCTACATCGAGGTGAAAGACAAGTTTGCTAAAAGTCGTCCAATCATCAAGCGTTTCCTGGGTCAGCTGGCCATCCCCGTGCAGCGGCTCATCGAAAAGATCCCAGGGTAGGAGGCGGAGCCACGGCTGGAGTCACGCTCAGTCAGTCAAACATTTACATCAACCTCTGTTGACCCCCTAACCCTAACCGGCGGAAGCTTCTAGAGCAGCGCCGCTGTGGTCCAGTCCTACAGAGTTGCCATCCTGTGATTCATCTCTAACACACCTGAATCTAAAGGCTCCGCCCCCTCAGCAGAGGCACGCTAACCAGCCGCTCCTCTGTGTTAAAGATGGATGGTGTCTGTGGAGGACTGGACCCGAGCGCTGCGGCTCACCTGATGACGACTCGTTTCTGTAGCTAACATGAATTCAAAGAGGGGCCCCTGGTAGCAGCCTGGAGGCCCCTGGTAGCAGCCTGGAGGCCCCTGGTAGCAGCCTGGAGGCCCCTGGTAGCAGCCTGGAGGCCCCTGATGGACCCAGACAGGCAGTGGTCCGGGGGGCTGGGGGGATGGGGGTCAGTCCCACCCTGAACTGGTCATGACGCTCCTTCTCCCAGCAGTGACTGGAACCAAGAGGCTCCAGACTCATGGCGGTTTCTCCGGTTTCTCCCTGCAGAGTGCAGCCCGTCAGCTTCCCGCTGTGTCGACGCCTTCCCACCGAACACGTCAGCGGCCAGCTGCAGTTTAAGGTGGAGCTGACCTTGACGGGACCTGATGGTGAGTCTGTTTCCTGCCTTTAGATGGCTGTGAATCAGGAAGACCTTTTCCTTCTCAGCTTTCCCTCATCCCGCTGTAGGTGCCTCTCCAGATTCCATTATCGGCGTTTCATCGCTCAACGGAGCTCCAGGGACTCCTTCTGACGATGAAGACCTGCCCCATCCTCTCCCAGGTCCATCCTGCTACCAGGGATCTCCACACATGTGGGAAGGCGGAGCCGCTGCCTTTCCGGACAAAGACCTGCCTGTCGTCCGATCGGCCAGATTTCTAGATCCGGTGGTCATTTCAGAGCAGTCGATTCTCCAGAGGTCCCTCAGTGAGGGGCTGGATGCCATCGAGGCCCCCAAAGGGCCTGGAGAGAGGCCTCTGGGTGCCGCCTCCCCTAAACTCTGCTCCAGCTTCCCCACGCACACCAGACTCAGTGACATATTGCACATTGACTCGGACGAGGACGAGGAAAGATCTGGGATGAACGACTTTCCTCCGATGCCTGTATCGCCGCTGCTGATGAACGGAGAACCTCCTGATGTCAGCGGTCCAGATGAGGCCGACCCGTTCTCCGAGCTCAGGCAGGAACATCTGGAGGAGGAGGAGTCTGCCCTCGATGTAATGGAGGAAGCGCCTCCAGAGCCTCGAGTTTCCATGGGTGCAGATCTGGAGTTAGACGACGTTCTGGAGGCGGAGGTTTTCCTTGAGGAGGAGGAGGCTCATGTCGCTCCGGATGTTACCCATCAACCTTTGCAAGGCAGCAGAGAGACTCCTGAACAGGAAGCTGTGCGAGTTGAAGATCTAACATCCGAGATGGACTCCTGCTCCATGGCAACAGCCCCTCAGACGGTTTTCTCCTCCTCAGAGAGCGGCGCAATCACCATGGCCACGGCTATGGTGAGTTCATTAACAGGATCTATAAACAGGATGGGGGTGAAACGGGGGGGCAAAAAATCAGGGTTCCATTATTATGAAGAGGTCAGCCTGCAGGATCTAACATGAACCTAGCCTGGTGAGACCATCCTGATCTCGCGAGCTTTCAAGGTTTCACTCGCAGATCAGTCTGGAGACTCTCCGTTAAAGTTTGGAGCCGTTCACCAAACGAACGTCCAATCAGCGTTGGCTTTGAGGCGGGTTGAGGTGTGACGCAACGAGAAGCAACAGTTCAGTCTAAAGAACATGGCGGCTTCAGCCGATGAAACTAGCGTTAGCGTGGCTATCGAGCAAGTTTTATCGGAATTACAGAGTATTTCTTCACTGAAAGAAGAGCAAAACACTGCTCTGGAGGCTTTTCTCAGAGGAAAAGATGTTTTTGCTCTTCTCCCGACTGGTTTCAGCAAGAGTTTGATCTATCAATTGGCTCCTCTTCGCCGTCGCTCTGTTAGTACGTCATATGCTTCGTTGATCTGATTGGTTTATTTGGCCCGTCTATCACCAACATAGGCCAATCAGCTAACCAGTATTTTCGCCCCTTCCCAAAATTACTTCAACGGAAGGTTTCCAGATGGATATGCGGATCAAATCCATCTGGCGGAGTCAGGTTAACATGAACCCCCCTCCCCATCTGGTTTCTGGGTGGATTGTGGGACAAAAACAACAAAATGAGGTTTGGATCTGATCTAATGGAGAATAAGATGTTTCTGCTCTTTCTGTTGAACAGGAAGCTGAGGAAGGAGCAGCGACAGCCATTGATCCAGGAGGAGACGCCGAGCCGCCGGGCCCCTCACCAACCGCCACAACCCGCGATGATGAGGAGGAGGGGGAGGAGGGTGGCCGAGCTGAAGCCGCAGAGGCTGAAGGAGAACCTGCAGCTGCCGGTGAGCAGCAGGAGGTTCAGGAGGAGGTCAGTGTGAGGAGGCGGAGCCTGCAGGCAGCGGGCAGGGCCAGTAAGGAGCAGGAAGAGGAGGAGACCAAGACGCCTGGGGTGGGGGCTGTGGACACGGAGCATGTTACCACGGAAACAGAAGGGGATGAAGGTATGCTGCTTCATGCTGCTCTGACACTGAAGAAATGTTTCCTCTGAACTCTGTGGTGCTTCCTTCCAGGAGGCGGCGTTAACGGCCATCCGGTGCGTTCGCTCCCCTCCGTGCGCCAGGACCTCCATCGATACCAACGGGTGGACGAGCCGCTGCCCCCCAGTGAGTATCCAGTGGGTGGGGTGGGTCAGGGACAACAGACTCACCAGAGATCGTGGTTCTAGTGAGGAACATCCTGGAGGACATGATAGGACAGAGATGTTACCATGACAACCACCCCCCAAAACACCAGACGTCATTTTTAGGCTAAATCTGGGCGCTCCGTCATAATCTGGAGTGGACTGGTTTAGCTCGGTCTGATTTTGTCCCACTTTATTCCAATAAATCTCATTCCAAACCCAGATTTCAACGTCTCACACATGTAGACGTCGTTTGGATGGAAATCATGTCGTTATTTCAGTGTTTTTTCAACCAATGTTTGCTGGGTGGGATCAGTCAGGCCCACAGCATGCTGGGAAAAAAGCCTTTTCCTGTCCTACCATCATAAACGTCGACCGTGCTGGGACTTAAACTGGTTGGTCAGTGGGTCGGTTGATCGGTTGGTTTGTGGGTCGTTTGGTCCGTGGGTCGGTGAGTCAGTTAGGTCGGTTGGTACATGAGACGGTGGGTCGATGAGTCGGTTGGGTCTGTGGGTC